TTTTTCCTTCTCCGAACGTGCAAAAGTTCAGCTTGCCAATTACGCAACCTTTATACAGAGTGACCACTTAGATTTATTATTTCAACGATATTTTTGTCGACCGACTACATTTTGCTGGGTGCTTATTACTCTATGTTGAGGCTCTACTAAATAATTGATAGTCCAGTTGCCCTGGAAATAATTATTTCTGATCAAATCTTCTCAGGGATTCGCACCGTTTTCTATTATATTACAGAAATGGATATTTAATCAGTGAGCAGCATGAAGATCATATGAAGTGGGATTTAGCTGGGAACCCATGCGGTGCTAACAGAAGAGGAACTAGGCTTGGGTCATGCCCATACCGTACTGCCAAATATGAAAGTACGGAGAGGTGCGAAAATAAAAGTAGAGGGCAAGGAAGGAGTTCACTTAAAATAACAAATGAATTATTGCCCTTTCTTGGTTGATTTCCATTTGGGAGATTTGTCGACCAATTCAGGACAGAATATTGGTACGCACGATATCTTGTTTTGTGCTTTGCGCTCAGGAACTTTGTTTCCAAGGCGAGCATTGATAGGCACTAGAGCAAGTCATCTATCCACATATATCATCTGTTCACCCTATCTCGTTTAAGCTGATAGAATATTTACCCACGTTCCCTTAGCTGCTAATAACTGCCCATTTTCATTGAACTCATTCATCAAGGCTCAAGTTCACTTTATAGTGATGATGCCGATTATATTAGATCAGTCGCAATTGGTACCATGAGCCGAGAACTGGTCACTTCCAGTATGACCATAATTTTGCCAGATCTTTAGTTTGCTTCGTTTAGATAACATCTCCTTTTGGGCCAGACAATCTTCTTGACTTGGTTCTAAATCTAAGCGATTTAGATAATGGTTCTTTATTCTGAAGATATGCCACAACCTACAGACAAAGGCTCGTCACAGATCTACCTGTAATTTTGAAGCCTACTCATTACGAACTAATATTTTGTTTCGGATATTCTTAATAGTTGGTCTTATATGAGGAAAAGCCGGACTTTGAGGAATCCATTTTTACTCACGTACTATTGGACTATTCCCTTAGTGTAAAGTGTTGGGTGCAGTGGAATTTTATGTTGGCCCAATCTGGAAATGAGGCAAGTTTGTGTTATAGTTGTGATTTCTGCCTTGAGTATTCTCCCCACGTTAACTATTCCAGAATACTTGCTATATTACGAAATCCTATTATAGCCTATTGTTCTTTCATAGACGGATCTCATGTCTAAACCTATAATCTCTTGAGTGAACTCATTCTTAGGGTTGATTTCAAGTTGTTTAATCAGTTAGATTCTGCCTTAATAGATTATTCGAAGGATGACTTCATGCTTGCATCCAATTTTAATGTAATTACCTGCTTTTCAAACACCGAATTACTAACGGTATCTTATTCTGAGTAATTTTTCCTATGGCCATCTCTTTTTATCGAATAAGTCCTTTGTTATTAAGTCCTATGTATTCCATATATTTTATGCCTGAACATATATATATATATAAGGATGATAACACCCTTTGGGAAAGTAAGGCTGCGTGAAATTCCATGAAAACGTCAGCTCTTCTCGTATCATTAAAGGAAAATTTAACTACCAATCCTTTATCATCTTGAGTGGCTAGTTAGTCTTTAATTAATACAATCAAAATGATTAACTACTTGTTATTTTATTGATAATCCTTTCTAAAATCTTCTCAACGCCACTGTAATTATTCTCCATGAATATTCCTGAAAGAAACGATTGCTTATTAAATCATATTCTCATACGACTGGCTCATCTGTAGCCTCGAACCGCCTGATATACTTAACAACTGCCATTTGATGTATCTAGGTTACTGAAGGACTGATTCAAATCTATTGTAAAAGCGGAGTACAAAATCATTTGCTCAAGTAAATTGAATAATATAATCTTTTGAAGGATTATATCCAACAGCCCTAACTGTATCTGAACTTTTTATTTTATTTAGTTAAATCAAGATTAACTACATGAACCATATGATTGAGCTCCATGTGACAGCCATTTAGCGTGTGAATTAATCGGGTCTCTACAGCATAGCATTCTTGAAGCCAAATAAACCTGAAGCTGAGTAGAAACAACGATCTTACCAACTTGCAGGGATAGCATCTCTTTATTCTCAGCCACTGAGAAAGGATTCGCAATGCCCCCTTAGAAAAGAATTTGGCGTTGACTTTTCATGAGTCCATTTAGTCCGTGTACACAAGCAGCTTCAACTACCGGTCTTCCATCACTTTAGACGAAATAGGATGAATACATCTCAATTATGACCTCTTGGGAAGCCAGTTTGTCAGTTACAAGCTACTTTCATTCAGTCCTTGTAAAATTTTGGAGAAGGAAAAATTTGGCCTATTTTAACATGCCGGTCTGCTAATTCAAGGTCCTTCTAGATTGAATCTAATCTGATCGCCAGATTTCACCTTATTTATCCCAAAAGCTTCATTTGTTGCATGAGTAGTACCATTGTAAATCTCTATTATAGTTAAAATGCGAAGGCGGCGAATTTTTGAAATTTAGAATTTGTAAAGATGACAAATAAGCTGCCTTTAAACTCATGAGCCTTGGCGACAAATTCATGAATGTCCAGAGCCAGTTCGTGTCCTTTGGTGCAACCTCTAAAGTCTGTAATTGTGCCAATACAGTGTCGACCCTTTACTTCTGCCTGATTTACACATCTAACTTGAGATATTAGAAGCATTTTTGCTCTCTGAGGAGCCTAGCTTTCGGATTTTCAACTCGAAATCTCGTTTAATCTACCAAACCTTTCTTTAATCTCGGTTTTTCTCAGAATCGGGGGTACCATCTTATGCAGTACTCTTCCTCATGTCAATATGCCTTTCCGGCCAAAGATCTGAGCGATTTCACTTATACATTTTTTTGTTATTTAACACAGATGTCTTCTGGCTCCAGTCGCCTTTTCCAACCCAGTGCTTCCGGTTTGACGGCCGCTTCATCCGGAGCCACCAGCACTCTTAACGACTCAAGCCCAACCTCCAGCCCTGGTTTGGGTGTGTCAAGGAGCCAAGTTAAGATATCAGCTGGTGCTATCGTCTGCTCGGAATGTGAGATACGCGGCGATGTCACCATCGGTACTCGCACTGTTATCCATCCAAAAGTGTCGATTATTGCCGAGGCTGGCCCGATTATAATAGGCGAGTCTAATCTTATCGAAGAGCTGGTGGAGCTGAGGAACACCGTGCCAGGCGCCGTGATGGTGATTGGTGATTCAAACTTCTTTGAGGTTGGTTTGAATCCCTTCTTCCAGGTTCTTATCTTCCCTTTATTTGCCAGTTTGTCCAGGTCTATCATTAAACAATATCAAAAGTTGATCGGCAGGCCAGCTTTTGCTTGTCTGATGACGACGATGTTCCCGGCCGGAAGTAGTGTTGTGAACTCCTTTTCGGTTTACTTGTCTCATGTATTATCTATGGGTAATCTAAATTCTATCACATCTACAATGGCTTTACTTTGTGATTAAAGAGAACCTATATATTTCATTTGATTTTGTTAGGGTCATCAGCTTTACTAGATTTACCAACTGGCAATAGGAGAGCATTATTCTATGTTTATCG